CTGAGGCAGTGGCGGCGGCGGCGGCGGCGGAGGCGGCGGCGGCGGCAGCGGCGGACGGCAAAGGAAGACGAGGAGGAAGAAGCAAAGCAAAAGAAAAGCCCGGCGGAGTCCACAACGACGACAGCTGGGACTGCGGGACCGGGGTAAAGCGGCGGCGGCGGCGGTGGCCCAGCAACCGTGAGGAGAAACAAAAGCCTTCTAAATTATAGTTTCCAAGCAGTCTAGGGGGAAAGAGAGCGCAAGCCCAGGGGGGAGGCCTTTCTCCTTTAGAGTAACTACGGTAGCGGGGTTTTCCTTTTTGTCCATCCCCCCCCTTCCCCCTCCCCCCCGGCGGAGAATCGAACTGAGAGAACTGAACAAACCGCCCCTGGGTCCCATGAGGGAAAAAAATCCCGGAGCCGCAGAGAGGGGAAGAGGCAGAAACCGCAGGACCTTCCAGGTCGCCCCCTTGGTCCCCGCACCCCCGGGCCGCCAGCTCGCCCTTGTCCAGTCTCGCTAATCCCTCCTGATCGCGACACCCCCCAGAGGGAGAAACGGGTGTTTCCAACCCCTTTCATGGGGGAGAGGAGGCCGAAGGGACAAGAACAGCAAACGCAGCAAGATCTGCACCCGGAGCCCCAGGAACAGCCCCAGAGGCCCACACTGCACCCTACAAAAGAACAGAAACAGGACCAGGAACAGCAGAAACCTCCCTGCAATCATCTTCCCTTTAGTCAAGGCTGATTTCCTCTTTGGCAACCAGAAATTCACCTCCCGCCCCAGATAACCTAATATAATCTATCTATATATAAATATATAATATATAATGTTCTTAAATTATTCCTGATTTTTTTAACCAAGCTGCCAAGAAAAGAACGTATTCTCCCCTTAATCCTATTCTAATTTTTATGTGAATCTAAACTGCTGAGGAAGACCATATGTGATTGTTAAATTTTATATATATATATTTTTACTCTGCACAATGCTTATTCTTCTATATCCATAGATGCTTGAGAAGCTGTGTTTTTGTCATTCATGTACATTTTCCTTTGGAAAAAGAAAGCGCCTATTTTACTAACCAAAGACTTGATTTTTACCTTTTTCCTTTTTTATTCCCGCCTAGAAATAAGCCCAATTGGATTCATATCAATATTTTAAGAGATTTTTTTTAGTTGTTTTTCCTTCCAGAGAGACCAGAATTCCAAATCAGAGATACTTAGGGTGATAAGCTGTGATCTTTGAGTTAGCTATAAATAAGATACTTCAAGCAAACAAATTTGAGATACAGAGGAAAAGACACGAGACATTAGATTGTCTTTTTTTATTGTGAGATTCTGATCCTAAAAATAATAAATGGGGGATTACGGGTTTGGAGTGCTAGTACAAAGCAATACTGGGAATAAATCTGCTTTTCCAGTCCGATTCCATCCACATCTGCAGCCTCCACACCATCACCAAAATGCCACCCCCAACCCTGCTGCTTTTATAAATAATAACACAGCTGCCAATGGCAGCAGTGCTGGGTCAGCTTGGCTCTTTCCTGCTCCAGCTACCCATAACATTCAGGATGAGATCTTGGGGTCAGAAAAAGGAAAAAATCAACAGCAGGAACAACAAGACCCTTTAGAAAAGCAACAGCTCTCCCCCAGTCCAGGTCAGGAAGCTGGAATACTGCCTGAAACTGAAAAGGCAAAAGCTGAAGAAAATCCAGGGGACAGTTCTTCAGAAAACAGCAATGGAAAAGAAAAAATACGCATTGAATCACCAGTGTTGACAGGGTTTGATTATCAAGAAACCACGGGCCTCGGTACTTCCACCCAACCCTTGACATCTAGTGCATCGTCCCTTACTGGTTTCAGTAACTGGTCAGCAGCGATAGCACCTTCTTCCTCCACGATAATCAATGAAGATGCAAGTTTCTTTCACCAGGGTGGGGTCCCTGGCGCTTCAGCTAATAATGGTGCTCTGTTGTTTCAAAATTTCCCCCATCATGTCAGCCCTGGCTTTGGTGGTAGCTTCTCCCCTCAGATCGGTCCTCTCTCCCAGCACCATCCTCATCACCCCCATTTCCAGCATCATCACAGCCAGCATCAGCAGCAACGGAGGTCTCCTGCCAGTCCCCACCCCCCACCTTTCACACATAGAAATGCTGCTTTTAACCAGCTGCCTCATTTGGCGAATAATCTTAGCAAACCTCCTTCTCCATGGAGCAGCTACCAGAGTCCCTCTCCAACCCCCTCTTCTTCCTGGAGCCCAGGAGGTGGCGGCTATGGTGGCTGGGGAGCTTCTCAAGGCCGAGATCACCGCAGAGGGCTGAATGGTGGAATAACACCCCTGAACTCCATCTCACCTTTGAAGAAAAATTTTGCAAGCAATCATATTCAGCTCCAGAAGTATGCTCGCCCTAGCTCAGCCTTTGCTCCCAAATCTTGGATGGAAGAAAGCTTGAACAGGGCTGACACCATTTTTCCTTTTCCGGTAAGATGTTCCATTAATAAATTAGGATGAATAAGGAAGTCATGTGGTAGAGTATCTGTGGAATGAAAGAATTGGAATTGTCTGGGTTCATATTAGAGATCTTAGAAAATAAATTGATTGCCTGTCTTTATTTTAGCAAATGAGTGTAATTGGAACAAAAAATATTCACTTGTTTCTTGGGCCTTAATTTTTCCCTTTATGACTACAGATATCAGGTAGTTAGTGATACCCTAATTACTTATAATACCTTTCTTGCTTAACAAGAGAATTTTCTTTACTTGCTTAAGGAAGAACGGTAATATGTAGCAGATGTGTTTTATTACGAAAACTAATGAATGTTTTCTACCTATCTGAAGAAACTAACTAAAAATGACCTTTTTGACATTAGAAGGTAGGGATTCACTGAAACGACCTAACTGCTAGGTTGCAGTTTTCCTCTTGGTTATATTTAGACGTGGACCTTGTAGTCTGAGCAGTCTGAACTGATCGATTCAGCAATTCCTCTTAAATCTCTCTGCAAATTCTGGCCTTTCTTGTGTCAGTAAAGGACTACTGCTTAGGGAGAAATGGTAAATGGGGTTTTTTTTGCTATGTTTAAAATTATTATTACTATTAATTATTATTTGCAGTGCTTGGTGTAGAATTCAAAGTCTTCTAAATGCTAACCAATTCTTTTTGAAAACCATGAAGGTGCCATGCCTTTTTTGTTTTCGGTTTTTTGGTTTTTTTTTTTTTTTTTTTTTTTTTTTTTTTTTTTTTTTTTTTTTTGTATCTGATGCCCTTCACCCACTTGTTTATTTTCCAGTGTTAACTCTAGGGGTGTAGATAATTAAACCATTCCTAAAAATAGATCCAGGCAAAGATCACTTGTCTTTGTTGCTACTAGTATATCCTTTATCTGGTAGGAGTCACATTGTTTGATGTTTTTGAACTAATGAACAGCCAGTTTATATCACAGAAATAAGGTAAAGGGAATTTCAGATCAGCTGAACATCATTTGCCACACTCAATGTATATACTATAGCGTGTATAGCGTGTATTCCTGTGTCCTTAGAAAATTTATAGGAAGTAATGAGGTACACCGAACCTCTCCTCACAGCAACCCACAAGGTAAGTTTGTCGTTATCCCGTTTACAGATAAGGAAACTAAACACGGGATTAAAATTATTTATACACGAATGTGTCACACACATGTGTTACAGCCAAGGGATTATTTTAGATACAGTTCAGCAGGGACTAAAGCATAGTATAAGATAGTCATAGTGTTCCTGGTTAAGGGAAGTGAAAGTTTGCTAAGAGAGCCCTATGTCAATCCAAGGAATTAAGTATCTCTTCACTCCTTAAGGATACAGGTACAAGCATCTTAAAATATTTGGTCAAATTTAGTGTTAGTTTTTTTTATTTTTAAGTTTTTTTCCTTGTTGGCATTTGCTATTAGAAAGCATTATTTTTTGCTCAGGCCAAAGTGCAGTTGTCATATAGTGACAGATAAATAGCTGCTCAAGACATTGACAATGGCTTTAAAAAGTTGTTTTTAATATTCCTTAAGACATAAATTTTAAAGCAATTTAATGCAAAGGTGACTCACAAACTATTTATGTACTGCTAATTTAAAAAATCAATACCTTGGGCTGGAGAGACGGCTCAGCAGTTAAGAGCACTGACTACTCTTCCAAAGAACCCAGGTTCAAATCCCACATGGCAGCTCTCAATTGTCTATAACTCTAAGATCTGACACCCTCACACAGACATCCATACAGGCAAAACATCAATGCACATAAAATAAAAGTATGTATTATAAAACAAACCTATACCTTGGGGGCTGGAGAGATTGATCGGTGGCTAAGAGCACTCAATTCCCAGCACCCACATGGCAGCTCACAACTGTCTGTAACTTCAGTTCCAGGGGACCTGACACCCATGGTAAAACATCGTTGGACATAAAATAAAAATAAAGTTTAAAAACCCATACCCTTTAACTAGATTATGATTAGTGTGAGAATTGTATGCACTTTTCTTTCTTATTTGCTACTTCTTGTGCTAACAGTAAACTTATGGGACCAAATGATCACTAATTCTGAACTTCCTAACTTTGGTAGAGAACTGTTCAGGGAAAATGAGAAGTTCAGGAAATAAAGTATCTATATATGTGTGTCAGGTTTTCTCCCTATGGGGCTGGTAGGATGTGTTGAACATGCGGAATCCTTTGGATTAGTTAAACTTGTTTTTTAAATAGCAGACTGAGATTGATAATAAAGGCTGTTGTTAAAAACTAACCCTCTCAGTAATAGAGCACTTGTCTGGCCTGTGTAAAGCTTTGGATTTACTCTCCAGTACTGAAGTGTTTGTTTGTTTGTTTGTCTGTCTATTTTTTTTACTTTCCTCTTGTTTTTTCTTGTCTATCATGCTAAGGATAGGGCAAGGGGTGGCCAGTAAACCTGGTTTAAATACAGAAAGGCTGGGCATGGTGGTGCTCGCCTTCAATTCCCTAGCACTTGAGGGGCAGGTGGATCTCTGTGGGTTTAAGGCCAGCCAGGGCTACATAGTGAGTGAGACCTGTCTCAAAAAAATTTTTTTCAAATATGGAAAGATTAGAAAGTGGATTGTTTTATGTTCCCCATCTCCATAATTTTTGGTAGTGGACTTAATATGAGATTATAATATTCATATAAATCAGGATAGCATGTTATGTTAAAAAGAATTATCTGAAACTTGCCTAATATTGGACAACTTTTATTTAGTTTGAAATGAAACAGAATTTTTTTTACATTTGTTTACTGCAGGTTTGCTTTTGTTCTGGCCAAATCCTGGGTTTTAAAATTAATAATGTTTAATTTTTTCCCATTTTATTTGTTTTGTATGTGTACACATGTGTACATGTGGGGGTCAGAAGATAATTTACAGGGGCCAGTTTTGTCCTTCCACCAAGTGGATTCAGGGATCAAACTCAGGTAGTAAGTAGCTTTTATCCAGTGTGCCATCTTGCCTGAACTCCTCCACAATTTTTTGTTAATTTTCAACCTTCCATTTTGTTGACATTTAGGAAGCCTGATTATACACCCCCATAACTATATAGTCCCCTAACTGATCCACCAAAGAGGTATATTTTGAGAAAAAAATTTAATTAAAAGTTGTTTCTGAGTTTTTACCTAGTCTAAAGCTTCATGAATTGGAGGTATGAATTGAGAAGCCATAACTTGAATCCTGTTTTCAGATACATTAAATTAATATGCATTTAATAATATATATGGTGCTTTTTATGTTGTGTTTTGTATGCTAATCCATTCAGTAATCCTATGAGGTAGAAATTATTATGCACCTGCAAGATTTGGCTCTTAACCATTATACTATAGTACCTCTTCACAACATAAAAGGCGTAAGTTTGGAGTGAGAGGAGCTCCTTCCACAAGCATGTAAGATGAAAGGGAAAAAGTTAACTGTATGTGATGACCAAAAGCTGATTGTAAGCCCAATATAGTTTCCGCTACTCTGGAGGCTGAGGTCGGCTGGAGAGTCTAGAAGTTATGGCCAGCCTGAGCAACATAATGAGACTTTCCATTTAAAAAGTTGGCTCTTAGAGTTTTAAAAGTAAAAAATAATAGCTTATTTGTTTATTAACTCTAAATGTTAAACTTCATAATATTAAGGTCAATAACTAAATTTCTTATAACATTGGTTTATTGTATTTATGTGTATATGCCAATGCCACTGTACATGCATGGAGGTCAGAGGACAACTTGTAGAAGTTGTTTCTCTCTTTCTACCATGTGGGACCTGGGGATTGAACTCAGGTCATCAGGGTTGGCAGTAAGTGCCTTTAACCAATCTCACTGGCCCCAGATACTTTTGTTTGTTTGTTTTTGTTTTGTTTTTCAAGAGAATTTCCCTGTAGCTTTGGAGCCTGTATAGGAACTCGCTCTGTAGACCAGGCTGGCCTTGAACTCAGAGATCTGCCTGTCTTTGCCTCCCAAGTGCTGGGAATAAAGGCTGCACCACCACTGCTTGGCTTGATCCCTTCATTTTTCATTTGAGTAGTAACTATATAACAGAAATGGGTTAGACGCTTTCTGATAGGCTCTATTACTTCCTGTAATAGAATTCCTCAACCCCATGACTTTTGGTTGTATTGTCCTGACTTCAAAATAAAGAAACAAGGCTCATATTCATGTGACTAAGGTATGATTTGACCCTTATATTTAGGAGAAAATAAGTCTTGTCTGTCCTGCCAAACACATCCTGGAGCTCCAATTTCCAAACCAAATAATAGATTGGGATGCCTGCCAGTAATTATATTTGAATATAGTACCTTATTGGAGTGATGCCTAGATCTGTCCTTACAGGAAAAGTAGAGCAGAATTCCGTAGTCTATATACTATTATCTAAGGCTCCATTTATGTTCCCATCTCCATTAGCTAAGAACCAGGAAAATGGCCACAAAGATTACCATTAATCTTGATTGGTAGAGAGAGAATTCAGGACTTTACTTAAGGCTCCATTTGTTATTACCTTAGACACAACATCACAGATTTGTTAAGTTGTCTTAATTACACAAGTAATTCTTGTCACCTTAATAACTTACTAGGTGGTGTCAGCATTGTGTCTTTAAAATTATATCATGTATATAGAAAGTCACTATAGTGCTTCAGGTGACAAGTCTTAGTGAATTATTAAACATCATAACATGCAACCTCATTCCGTTTTATCTTTTCTTAATTTGACTCCAAGAGAGATTTTTGCATAGGAAATCTTTTGTTTGACTTAGACAGAAACCAATTTTGTAATTGTGAAATATGTGTTGGATGTGTCTAGCTCTGTTAGAATTGAAATACTGGAAAACATGCTGGGGAAGGGGTACAAGTTCCTCCTCTTTGTAGAGGGCATCTAACTAGATCTGCTATTTCCTGATAGAGCTGGAACTAACTGGGGTAGACTTTTTTTAAAAACCCTTTCCCCCTGTTTTTCCCTCATTTAAAAAGAATTTATTGATTTTTATTTTATTT